ATTATAGGCCTTCCGACTCAACGTTGGACTTTTGGCGCGGATTACTATTGTATAATACTATTGGACTCCGTCTTCCTCATTACGTCATTGGTGCAGTCACTTGCAGAGGAACACCTGTCAATCAAGTGAACTCAGTTTGTGGTCGTTGTTCTCACGAGGCAATTCACAAGTAACATTCATTCTATAGTAACTGTTAGTGTCTGTTTGTTTAATATACCTTTTGTATTGCTAACGGTATTTTGTTACCTTTGGTTTTACTAACGGACAGACATCTAGGTTTCTTTACTATTAATCTTTTTAGTATTAACCTAGTGTATCAATATATTTTGTGTGAGCTCTTTTTGTTTGGGAACCACCACAAACCTAATCATGATCGGAAACCTGATGTGATTTGGATAGATGCTGATTTTTCTAACGATCCTACGCTCTGCAATGACAGTCCAAATGAATTTCATGAGAATATTTCAGAAGAATCAAATCCTGATGTCATATCATATATTACCTCTCCTCATAATGCATTTGATCCTTGTGAAAAACCTGTTCAATGCGAAGCACGAGTACTAAGTGACCTCGAGTTTGATTACATTTCGGATGATTTCACACCAACTCCTGTTTACCCTTATCACAAAAACAGTTCTAATGTTTACTCTAAACAATGTGAGAAAAATATTTTAAATGAAGCCACGTTATTCGTAACTTGGGAATATAAACATCCAACATTATTTCGTGGGGGAGGATAGTGTTGAAAAATCTATGGTTCGAATTCTAGATATTAATGATTTCATTACAAAACCGACATGGCGATTGTATACAATTCCCAATGAGTTTGTTCCGATTTCGTTTGTTAATTCCAATACTAATGGGCACATTCTAGATACTACAAAGTTTTTATCTAATAAAATGTCGGACAGACTCAGGATGAACATAAAAAGAAGATGTACAACCGATTACAAACACTTATACTCCTATTTAAGCTGTGGCGGATGTGGTGTTTGAATTAACTAATTATTCTATTGTACTTGTTGAATGCTCGATTTCGAATTCTAAATACAATACATTCGTTTGTACTTGTGTCGTAGTTCTTGATTCAGTTGCGTTAATTCTGGGATTCCTAGTTAATAACACAATTCAAATAATTCAATACATCATAGTATTCGATAATTTTCTAAGCTTTTAATAATCAATGCATATAACACAGACTCGTAGATCACCAACATGGATGACCGGTCTCTGATGATCCGGTGTCTTCTCTATCTAGGTTTGAAAGGCGTCGAAGTCACACTTCACGGTTAGTACTTAACTTCGATCACCCTTTCTTCGTATCCTAGTACTATGACTCCTTTAGAGACGTACAACACAAACGGCGTTATTACATAAATATGGTGGTAATTGTAGGTGTAAGAGACAGAGAAAGACCACTCCCTCAATGGCCATTTCATAGCGTGTAATCAGATGACGCACTTTGGTTGTCCTTCACCTTGACTAGTATCGGTAGACTGTTCGATATTTGGTGACCGGACTATCAGGTGATTTGGTTAAAGCCCAGTGTCATTTCACTGAACTTGGAGATTAATACATGAACAGTGAGCACTATTAAGTAACTTTATATTTTTGATTGGTTTTAATATAAAACAACCTGTGGTGGTCGACATTCGATATAATTCTTAAATTTCGTATACTGCCCGTCCTGATAACCTTTACTTGACAACGCTCAACGGTATTAAAATCAGAAGACGAATATGAAGTGTTGATTATGTGTATTATTGCACCGCACATAGATCCGCACAATTGCAAGCACACAAAGCAAGAATGATATGCAAGTGTCAAAGAACAAGCAAGCGAGTAAGTCTATGAACATCATTAATACATATGTATATTTGGGACATTGAATGTGTTATCAAATCATTTTGGCGACTAACACCAAAGCTAGCAGAATGAATAGGTGCGTAGGCGGTAAGCAATGCTCAACCATCGACACAATCCAACAGCCATCAACAATCAATAATAACAATGATAGGAGAATATATCACTCATTAAACGTCTTTCGGACTGTCTACAAGCGTGACTAAGCAGACAACTGATAATTATCATTCTCGTCCACACTGGAGGATCCATTTCGAATGTTCTGTGTGTAAAATCCCTCCATGTAGGCACTTGCAGTCGATCCCTATTGATTCCCTTAGTTGTACATTTTGTTAGTCTATTTCACTGCATTTGAGTTGGCAACATTTGCATTTTATTATAGTTTTTATTTTTCTTACGCCTTCACTAAGTTTCGATGTTTCTTCCTGATCTGCATTTATGTTGTCTCACTTGATGCTTAGTCTTGACGGCAGCCAATATTGGTTTATTCCTCCTTTTCATTGTGCTGTTTGGATTGACTGAAATTGAGCATATTTGAATGTGAATTGAAGCACCCCTCCAGAATTGGGAGCACTCTGTGTTATAAAGCAATCAAATATTATCTTTTGAACGAATCGGTGCGTGCTCTATCCAGACAGGATAGGATAACACTTGTTCGTTGCGATTGGTTAGGTAACAGTGTACGTTAAAATTTATGATGAATTTTGGAACCGTCATTTTACCCAATTACTTTGTTTTAGTTTTAACTGGGTAAGGGTGCATATACAACCCACCTGGACAGTTATTTTTCAGTCCAAACCTTAGTTCGAATCCTACACACACATCACCACCCCTGCGATGTTTGATCGTATGACTTCACATTTGGATCTATTTGAAAAAATCTCGTTCGATTCCGTTCTCTTGATAACCTACGGCTGGCTTCGGATTTCCGCTCATGTTTTCTCATTTCAACTTGTGGTATGGGTAGTAGGTAATTAAAGGTATCATATATTTCCATTAGCAAAGGTTTAGCTAGAGATGACTCACTTAAATTTTCTCTATCTCACAGTTAAGTTGTGTGTCTGATAATTAGTGTATTTTCAACCATGATTTCATACAATAACACCCCACATCTTTTTTATACACCCAAATATCCATAATGGCTTTCCTGGCCGGAAATTACATGCATAAACGAAGTTTCGAATCTTCGGGTAATTCTCTTTCTTATTTTTTGTAGTCCGTTCTTTCTGTCTTTCGGGTTCAAAACATCAAAAATGTCCTAATTCGTCGGCAAAACATTATTTCGGCTAGTGCTTTCCGGTCTTGACAATATGAAGTGAGTGTAATTCTGTAAGAGATTGGGAACTACTGCAGGGCCTCTTCCACTTTATTTTCACGTTCCGACTTGAAAAAAGCTTGCTTAAGAATATCAACAAATTTCGTAGCTTGCCCAGTTAACTTAGGGGGATACGGCGGAGTTCTAGTAGGTTAGATCACATTTTCTTTGCAAAACTACTTAAACTCTGGCGACGTAAGTCGCGTTCCGTTATTTGAAACCAAAACATTAGGTGTTCCAGACCTACCAAATAGTAGTCTGAAGTGTCAAAGTGTTTCAGATGTAGACGGTCTTCGCATAACATAGATTTCAGGCCTTTTGGAGTATAAATTTACCAGCACCAAAAAACATTGTCCGTGTATCGGTTCAGCATAATCGATGTGTACTCGAATCCAAGGCTTGTTCGTTTCTGTTCATGGCTGGGATTCTACTTTCGGTGGATCGTTTGCACCTTCGGGACATAAACAACATCTAAATACGCGTTCATTCATATCCTCATCCGTGAATGACCAGTAGACATAACTATGCATAATTGCCATCATTCTGTTCATTCCCGGATGACCAATACGAAACGTCTTAAGCACAAACAACTGCAGAGATTTAGGTGCGAAAACACGATTGCCATACATCAAACGATTATCATAAATCCATAAAGACTCACGACTCAGAAACAATTCGTGAAACTCCCAATCAACGTTATCCTGTTCCCGACCCTAATAATAACTCCTCGTATTCTATTGAGTAGAGGATCAAGAGCCGATTTTATGTACTTCGGTTATTTTTTATGAACAGTAAAAAGTAATTCCAGATAAACTGGACTTATTCTTCGCTAGAGCTTGTGACGACTCACATTTTTGAAGGGAACGTGATTGGTATGATTGAAACAATTATTATTGTAACCTACTGTACCAGTGATTGTTTCACTGTACCTGTTTGCTTAGGTGTAACAAAAAAACACCCTTGCGTTGTTTGGGACCTTGCAAGAATTCTCGTACGCTCATTAGTCTCGCTTGTAGATTTTCGAACGATATGGATATTATTTCGATACCATGAGATCGCCAACAAATAAATCTTAGCTTAAACTTTCAACTGCTTTCTGGTATTTGGTCTACGGAGGGGTCTAATCTGGTAACTGGCACGTAGTCTATGTGAAGTGGTGATCATAGTCAACCGCAACTGGACTCCAACTACAAAGTATTCTCAAGATATGAATCTGTAAGCATATACTGCAATGGATCTCCCTCACAAACGTACACTTCAATACACACATAGAACACTATTCGACACCATGTAAGTTAATTATCCGTCTTTTGTGCTGTGCTCATGGTTTTGGTTTTACATGTTGACACTTCATCGTGAGTGGATTGTCACAGCATATTTAGGTCTGATAAACGACTCAATGGATTTCCCAAATCAGGGGAAGTGGTTTCTGGCATTGTTTGGCAGACAGAATTTCGGGTAAAGTTTGTGGTGGTCCAAGAACACTTGAGTGATGGGCGTGAACCTCTACAGAGGTCTAATTTGGGTTTCCAAATTTCTGAATTTCGAGTGTCCATTAATTTCCATTAGGTCTACGGCATGATAGAGCAGCTATTTCTTAAAAATTATTCTGTGAGTGTCCATTTCCAAATAAAATATTTGCTCATCTGAACTGGATTCAGTCAATCCTACTCGACGAGGACCAGCGGAATTTCTGAGAGTTTGAAACAGAAAAATCATTTAAGTGTCGTTTCAATAATGCCAGTATAGTAAAGAGTCTAGTTTCTGAACGAAAAAGAACTCACCATACAGTGATAATTTTTTCTATGGATACTCAGTCAACGTGAACATCATTACTTTGTCTTTGAATGTTCTCATCGTTCAACAGTTGCTGGGTTCGCTACATTAAGTGTACGCGGGAACTACGACGGAGTAGGATGAAGTGTCGTTTGACGTTCTTAAATTTACTTCACTTATGTAAGTAATGCAAATGACTTATAATACACAACTTTGCGCAGTAATATTCGTGCAATGTGAACTGTTTTGGAATTTCCCACGTAATTCAAGGGAAGTTTTTCATGCGTATGTGAATGAAAAAGCACATACTATACAAGTATTTCCGTCAATTCAAGTTAAACTAACTAATGGTACGTTTAAACACAAACTCTAAGCTTTTATATTTAATTCCGTATCGAGACTTTCAATCGACGTTTCAGAAGCTAACCAAATTTTTATTTAACGCTAGCATTTATTTATTTTCAAATAATGTAGTACTTAGTATTCGTTCGACTAATTTATTCTTAGTCATCGAATTCTAAATGTTATTCTGTGCGCGAATTCGAGCCACCAGAATGGAACATGATATCATGTTGAAATTAAATAAATAACTACAAGCTTGAATTAGAAAAAGATTTGTTTAGAAGTCATACGGAATATGGTGATGAGTAACTCATCCTTTACATCATATTATAAACTGTCTTCCAACTGTGAGACTGGATGTGTCAAAAGTCTGGAGGTTCGTTATTCATTTCAACAAAATAATAAAATATCCTCAGGTGATCATTAAAAAGCACTGTACAATGTGCACATCCATCAACGCTTAAATGAATGCGAAAAAGTAGAAAAGTAGAAAAAAACCTATCAATAAATTCATCTTGCTGAATACCAACTTTCTATCAAATACATATGTGCTCTTTTTGTTTATCCTATCGCCTTCTCGCCTTATAAATCTCACTGTGCACTGACTGAAAACTTAAAATTTTCAACTAATGTTTTTTTTCTTTGAATCTGCTTTCGATTTTCATTTATTTTTCGATAAGTAGCGCAAGTTGGTTGCTGAGAATATTTTCTGCAGTGTTATAAAAGCGACTAGTCAAGTAAAATGTATCAATTAAATTAGCTTATTTTACATCATGTCATGGCTGTAAAGTATTACCCCAAGTGTCTCATCGTATGTAATATTTAGAAATGATATCTCGCCTATTCACCAGAATCAACCATATAGTAAACTTTGTAATTTTGGCTCATGAAGATATTTAGGCTGCAAACAGTAAATATACCGCATTTCGTCTCAGTAGAGCGCAAACGTTAAAAAATCTTTGATTTGCGCAGAAATCTGACAGAAAAATGCAGTTCAACTTGTGGCGATTTTATTTATTCGTTTGGCATCAGCGCAAACTTACCGATGTTAAAATCCCTGAGTAATCTAGTGGTCACTTAATTAGCGATGGGGTTTTCATTACAGATTTGGTTATTTCTCAATCTGTTCTTCATAGACCTAGTCGATGCAAAAAGGATTTAAAATTTCTTTGTTCATATGTGGAAAGACAAAGGCCTTATAGCTTGTAAAATATGAATGAAAGACTAATAACTTCAAATACGGAATATTAGAATTTAACATAACTACATACTTTTTGAACTCATCTTTTATCAATTAATCTTCTAAACTCACAGCAATGCATCTTCTTTGTGTAATTTCGGACTTATATCAGGAAGCATGACTTCATGGTGACAGGTTGTTACGTGCAAAGTAATGAGTAAAACCTGCTCAATTTTTATTTTGAGCCGCACATTAGATGACCGAACTGTGTTTGTTTTCTTACTTGCGCTTTTTTAAAATAAATCCATACGTGTCGCTAAATGTAAACGGTCTAAATCATTATGTTTTAGTTATTTATACTGCTTATTGACGTTAGCTTGTTAACTATTGAAAGTCAGTGGGCAGTGAACAACTGTTTTCTCCCACCTCATGGCTTCGGAAACATCCTGTCAGGACCCCTCCAAAATTGAACCTCTAGGTCTTTCAGTCACATGGCATTAATGAACATACGTATTTATTAATGGCCATTTTTGGGTTTTGAGTAACCTTTACAAACGACGCATCTAAAATATATTATTATATCTTGGTTAGTTGCGCCTCATCTGTGGTTGGTTTAACTTGATAACCTCTGATATTTGACACTGAGAAATTTTTATTTTTCAACATAAGACTCAGTTCACTCATAAATAGTTCTATTACATCATCATCCTTTTATTTTAACCAAATGTGTATAGCTGTAAAACTAATCACTCATTTTGAAATAATGACTGAATCCATAACCTCATCACTGTTTGGATTATAACAATAACCTAGAACATGTTAAAACAGTTCAGGGTTTATGAGAACATATCGTTTTTGCAGTTTTATAAGGCATTTAAACTCGATTTCAAGCATTCAAATATGATATAATTTAAATTCTGATCCAAGATATTGAATACTTTTTTCATAAGATAGATAAATGCTATGAAACATGGTAGACTGAATAACTATCTCTTCCTACTTTGATAATTCTAGCCGTATTGAACGTAGATGCCAATATACGGATAGAAATTAGTTAAGAAATTGATGAAACAAATCGATAGCTGTTCTGTTCTGCAGTGAGATTTTCTATTAGCACATCCAGTGCCATCCTATCATGGGAAGTAGACGTAACCTCCAAACCTCTCACGGTACGTGTTACTTCTGGAATACTTAATCAGTATCTTATAATTCACATTTCCAACCTGATTTGGATCTACAGAATGATAATTATCCAACACTTCAATATTGGAAATTTCAAACCTTTTACTGCAAATCATCCTTCAGTCATATTCTTTATCCTCAGTCTTTCTGATTATCTCTAATACTTCTGTTATTATGACTCGTTTTGTAATTTGATATCTCTGTGACAACGGGTGTGACAACTTGAACTAGCTCACGTCATTTTCAAGTCCAACATCGGTTATGACTAACTTAGTTATTTAGCCACATGAATTATCATGGAAAATTCAACGTACAGGAAGTAAAGCCGAACAAAATACCACAAGTCAATTCACTACGCATATTTTCCTCTTAATTTTTGTCTTCTAATTTTTGTTCTTTCTCCCATTTTTTTAGCTACACAAGTACCTAAATATCCCGTAGATATCTTTGTTTTCCTTGATTATTGTAACAAGTAGTTAGTAACTTTGAAGCGATATAGCTAACAATCCATTTTTGCATTTGTTATCTGAATTTTCTCATTAATGTTTAGGACTGCAATTGAACAGTCTCTTATTGACATACGGGCATCTCACAGCTGATGTTAACTCAGGGACTCCACTACAGTATTGTTCACTTCAAACGCCATGACGTTATTCACTTAGCTACTGAGTCCAGACCCCGTTGCATAAGCTAGTGGCTATCTGGACTCAGTAACTAAGTGAATAACGTTATGACGTTTGAAGTGGACGGTACTGGGCTGGAGTTTCTGAGTGAACATCAACTGTGGGATATAGGTACACACAGGTGACCACTCCCAAACAGGAATAAACTTGCGTCCTCGATTCTACTGCTGGCCACCACCATCTTTGCTTATAATAGCCCACCGTTGTTCTCAATGGCATATGTGCATTCACCCTATGTCATTCTCTAAAACCTGAGTTCCAAAATCTCCTACCTTTCTTCCTATTTCTATACTTAGTCTTTTCTATGGCTACTGATATCGTTACTATTTCTACTATGTGATTTGTTTAGAAATAATTTTATCTCACTGTTGCAATGGGATGTAACAACTTGCAAATAAGTCGGGTTTTGCGATTCATATGACTGACTAGCCAATTTTCTTTATTTATGTTTCTACAAATAACAGAACGATGAAAATATACTCTAAAGTATTTTAAATTTCTAAATGCACCCCTTTATTTAAAATTCCTCTTTACTAAAAATGGGAAGGCTGTACGCATCACAGTACAGGTTAATATTACTTCTTTAAAACTCTACACAAATAGTAAAAGCAATAAAATTTTTAACATATTAAAAACCAAATAAACTAGCTTCTTGCTATCTACATATATTGACCTGTAGATAATTTGATAGTTATAACTTGGGTTTATCTTAATTCCATCTCTACGCAAAATATTGTGTACTCAGTTTCAGTCAATATTTCTTATCTGTTAAATAGCACTATGATACAGATACTTGTATTGAATTAGATGGAGTGGGGTCTTAACCTGTGATTAGTTAGTTGAAAATTTTGACTGTCTTGTTTTATTACTCAATGTTTTATCTCAATTCCATGTGAAAAACTATAACCATCATCATTTTATAAATTTTAAGAACGAATATGTGAACTGTGGCAACTATTTTTATTTTTACAATAAATAGATTCAAAACTATGTTCCATCTCATTACTATCATCTGGCAGAAATAGTGTTCCTAACTTTATTCATGGTAATGTTTTAAACCAAGAGAAAGGATATGGTTATTTAACTTTCAATGAAACATCATATCGTCATGCTAAAAGTTTGGGTAGTTTAGAAGCTAGAACAGGATTTTATCATTTGAAAATAATAGCTGAAGACTGTTCTCATCCAACAAAGTCGACAAAATCTTGGCCAATTACATTTGAAGTGAGCAGTTCTTTAAGTTTAATTTTATAAATGCGCATGAATGTATTTTCAAATTCAATGTTAGTAGATTTTTTTTACTGAGAAATAAGGTACATGACGACAAGTGATGTAACGTTGCATAGCTTTATGCATGGATAAAATTCATGAAAAGTTGCGTAAGCCAAATAGTTCTATTTCTAATCGAATCCTTTTCCAGGTTTACTTCCGTATATATTATAAGTGTGTATCTATGTCCATATATTCATCTAACGACGATGATTGATGAGTTAACGATAAGAGCTACTGAGTTCCTACAATTACTCAGTTGTAGCCGAATAGTAAATCGATGGAGGTAAAAACAGAATAATGTAGAGAGCATGTAAAAACAAAAATATTCCAATAAATGAAACTATTTTAACCTTGTCAAAAAACCAATTTAGTGTTACGTAATGGTAACATGTGAAGCATAAATACGAAAAGACTTTGTTCAAGTTTGACTGCATGATCTGAATCAAGCATTTATTATACGCAGCAATGAATAGTGACTAGCAGTGGAATCCAAAATGCACTTTCCGTCCTACTTGGGACTCGTTAGCTAGATGAACCTGCATCTTAGATTGAGCATTAACTCTGGGATGCAGGTACATCCAGATGACCAGTCTCAAATAGGAGTAAACGCATATCCTGGATTTCAATGCTATCCACCATCCATCTTTTCTTATAATGCTTTTAATTTAAGACAGTAATCGAGGCAACCCGTACAGGATGCCTATATATATGAATAACTTACTCACGCCTGTTACTTCTCGTGAAGGAGCATAGGCCGCTCACCAGCATTCTCCATCCAACCCTGTCCTGGACAATCCTTTCTAGCTCCTTCCAGTTCCTATTGATCCTTTCAGTGCTTCAGCTGGTATATTGTCGGGTCCTGCTGCTTTCCCGCTCTTGATTTGTCTGATGGCCATTCTGATTTCTGTCGTTGGTGGATTGACATCTATAGGAAGATCTGTGTGCGCTGCTTCGATTTCCGGTGGATTCATTGGAGCCGGCCTATTCAGGAGTTCCTCGAAGTATTCTACCCATCTGTTCCGCTGTTGTTGAATTTCAGTGATTGCCCTGTGTTCTTTGTCTTTGACCGGTCTCTCTGGTTTACTATACTTCCCTGCTAGTTTCTTCGTTGTATCGTAAAGCTGTTTCTTATTTCCTTCCCTTGCAGCTTTTTCTGCCGTCGTTGCTAGTTCTTCCACGTATTTCTTCTTGTCGGCTCTAATGCTTTTCTTCACTTGCTTGTTGGCTTCTATGTATTCAGCCTATGCTTGAACTTTCTCTGCTTGTGTTCGACTGTTGTTAATTGCTGTCTTCTTGTTCTTCCTTTCTTTGATCTTGTTCAGTGTTTCTATAGAGATCCATTCCTTATGATGGTGCTTCTTTAGATCCAGAACCTCTTGACACGTTGAAATTAATGCTTCTTTGATACCTTTCCAGTTGTCCACCATAGTAGTTTCTTCTTCCTTCAGTAGATCCTGTAAGGCTTGAAACCTGTTGTTGAGTGCTATCTTGAATTCATTGAGTTTGTCAGTATCTCGAAGGAAGGCTGTATTGAACCTTTGTAATGCTGTTTGTCCAGTTGTCCAGTTCCTTTTTAGCTTCAGTTTTAAATTGGCCACAACTAGGTGGTGCTCTTAAGCTATATCAGCTTCTCTCTTGTTTCTCACACCTTCCATTGTCCTTCGGAACTTTTTATTGATGAAGATATGATCTATCTGGATCTCTGTAGTGTGGTCCGGTGAGATCCATGTAGCCTTGTGTATACGCTTGTGTGGAAATATTATACCTCCTATGACCAATTTGTTGAATGCACATAGATTTGCAGATCTTTCCCCATTTTCGTTTCTCTCTCCCAGTCAATCCATGTCGTCCCATGATATCTTCACCTCCGGTGTTGTCTATTCCAACTTTGGCACTTAGATCTCCCATCAGAATGGTTAGGTCCTTTCTTGGGCACTTCTCTACGACTAATTGCAGCTGCTCGTAGAATTGACCTTTAATGTCGTCGTTGCTATCATTGGTGGGTGCATAACATTGGATAATATTCATTGTGATGCCCTTCTTCTTTGTTTTGAATGATGCTTTGATGATTCTGGATCCGTGAGATTCCCATCATACAAGTTCATTTCGTGCTACTTTGGACAGCATTAGAGCAACTCCCTGAGTGTGTGGAGCATTTTCCTCTTCATGACCGGAGTACAGCAGCATCTCTCGTATTTAGCCTTTGTTATCCAGCTTGGGTCCAATGGGTTTCTCTGATTCTCAGTACTGCCAAGTTGTATCTCCTCACTTCCATTGCCATTTGACTGGTCTTCCCGGTCTCCCACATTGTTCGAACGTTCCATGTACCTATAAAAATTTTTGCTCTGGTTGTTAGAAGGGGCATCGGCCTCGTGGCTTCCGAAGGAACTCGGCTTTCACCATGAAGCGTCATAATTCTTCTAATTGAAGACCTTCTAACTCCCAGGGCAGAGTTAAAATGGTTTGAATTATTTTTTCTGGTCGCTAACCCCATGCCCAACCCTCCTCCTTTACCCGGGCTTGGGACCGGCAGTAACTCTGGAAGAGCTACAGGCGGAGTTATATGTAAATAAGAGATTGATCAATTTCAGTCCTAAACATCAATGCAATATTCATAAAACCAATACAAAAATGAATTTAACATTGTTTCGGTAAGTAGCATTAGAATCCTGTTCAACTTACAACTAGTTGGTAGTATGTTGTTTGATATGTGCTTTTTTCCTGGTAGCTTTATAAAGCGACATATACTCATATGGTATATGAGCTTGAATATAATAATCATTCATAATTATCCACTCTCTCTAAAGCTTCAGCTGTATGAAGACATACTTACATTATATCTGAGTTTTAGAGTTTTTACATGTTAAATGACCCACCTTAGATAACGCATAGAATGAAGATCTTTCTACACCAGAAAAAGACTTAGTTCGACTCTTGTGTGAACCACTAGGTTGTGACCATACAGATGGGAAAATTCTTATGTTTTGGATTTGATACCGTGTACAATCGTGCTAATAGATTTCTTACGAAGTTTAATTTTTTTAAAAAGAAAAACAACTGTCTTGCTAAGTTTTCGGACTGACGGAATCTATTCAGTAGTATAGAGATATGTTCAGCAGCTAAATTTTACTTTCTAAACAATTTATTCACATATCTTTGATCATCTCTTACACATTATCAATCATGTTTGATTCGATAATCTTATATAAATTGGGCATTGAGTCGATTGTTTATAATACGAAAACAATATATTTGTAATATTTTAATGAATGAAAATTGAATTTCGAACTCTTTGAGACTTAGGGTAACTCACTTTTACGAAGAATAAGTAACCTATCTAAATTAACAGAATTTTAGACAATGCAGAGGGACAAATCAAAATGTTTAAAACATTCGTGTATATTGAACAATTTTTCCATCGTTATTGTGAACAACATCATTAGCACAAACTTTAGGTAAAAGTGATCTATTCGAGCTACTCCACTTATGACTGATAGCTTGTGTTGTCTACCTTGATTTTGATTGGTTATTGTCGATGTACCTGTTCTGGTGAACAGTGAAAGCTTTACAAATAAAATCTTTCGCTCAAAATCATCAAAGTAAGCCTCAAATTTTGTCCATTATCTAGAAAAATGGTGTATTTGCAATGTAAAAGAGTAGATCTAATTTGTGTGTTAATTGTGTGCGGTTTAAATAGGTTGAGTGTATTTACTTAGAAAACTGGTTTGAATTGGTTGGATAGTTAAACGTTCCTTTTTATTGACCACAATGGTGTTTAGCAACATATCTAGAGCTTCAGTCACTTGCTTTTATGTTTGGCTGGAACAACTTTTATGAATTGTTTTGATATTGTCAGTATCGATTTGATGGATCCTGGGAATACCATTTACTGCTTCTACTGATTTATAACTCATAGATTTTTAAGTTTCGTAGAATTGTTCGCAAGTTTTTTTAAAATAAAGTTTAGATGTTTCTTAAGAGGATTTATGATTTCTTGAAAAAACTCCCCAACATCTATGACAGCACTATTGATACAGTTCAGTGCATGAATGAGGGTATCTTTTCCTTTATTCAAGCTAAAACATAAACACATATATTCCTTATAATATACTGTTTACATTTTAGCATATTCAATCTGATTTACCAATTTGGTCTAAAACAAAATATGCATTTGAAATAGGTTCATTACATAGACCAGGTCATGAAGTTGGTAAAGTGACAGCATACACATCAGCTATAAATATGACAGAAAATGATAATTTTTTATACGGTGATGATACAGGTATGTGCGCCTATACAATACAAGATCCAAGTTATTCATTCGCAATTGATGGGCACGGTAAGTGTACATTGAGTTATTTCAAAAGAAATGCTTTCTGTTTTGTTTAATAATTGCTATCTCTATAACATACTTCAATTAAGTTACTGAAACGAAGTTGATTTTATCCCACGAAACGTGGCAATTAATAACATTTGGTAAATCTAATATAACCCTTGCCGGTTGAATCGATTATCATTTTTGTAGTATTTCATAAGATGATGTCTTCAGTTAAACTAAGCAGTGTAGACAAGTTCAGACTACTTGGTTTAGGTCCGTTTGATTATCATTATCAATGGATAGAGACTGTTGATGAAATAAGTTTGAACTAATAATGATTACCATGTTCTTATTTGGATACGACTATAATTATCGTCAATCAATTCATTTCTGTAAAATATGATACATTTGTTTCATTCGTTTAAATAATAATTTGTTTCTATGCTGCGTTCAATCTTTCCTTTCGTCTGTTTTATGGAGAGACTATAATTTATGGACGAATCTGTTAGCGGGACATAGACTAGATTAAAGCATGCTCAATGCATGATTGCTTTGGTGCACGCTGATTGGCTAATTCCTATCCAATCAGCACTAGTCGATAGTTGGAGAATACTCTGGAATCTTCTTATGTAAAAACTATAAATATACTGACGTTTTTCCCTATTGTGCTTCTGGCTTGCTTCTCGCGTCCATCTAACCTTGTTATTTGGAATATAATCTCTTCCTGTTCAACCGTGTTTTGATTTGGGGACTTGTCGAGTGAATCGGTGTCCGAGAATACCAAGCAATAGGAATAGCTGGGTCATAACCGTAAGAAAACAGAGTTATAACAGAACCAATCAGGTGTAAGATAACTGGTGTTGGAGTTTAGCGCGAAATTCATTTACCCATTTGTCTAAATAGAGTTTTGACATTATAGCTAATGTCAGTTCGTGAGGAAAACACTAAATTTAATTTTTAAACTTAATCATCAACCGTAAATCATAATTCTAATTCCTCACATAGGTTCATTATCCTCATTTGGTCATGATTATTAGGTGGACACTCTCAAGGTCAATCTAACGTCTAGAGAAAACCAGGCTGGTTTTCAACCTGGACGTGGTTTTACAGACCAGATATTCACACTAATTCAGGTCCTAGAATATAGACACGGATTCAGACACCCCACAATCATAGTATTTCTCGACCTTAAGGCGACAGTTCATTCTGATGGTCATAAGGTGCTATGGCAGTTCGTCACCGAAAGTAGTACCAAAGAAGTACATTAACCTTATGAAGGTTCTCCACTCGAATACAACTGGTCGACTGAGAGCTTATGGCGAACTGTCATCAGAATTGAATACCTCAGGCGGTGTTCGTCAGGGCTGTCCACTCTCTCCATTCTTGTTCAACTTTGTCGTTGACGTGCTTATAGAGATAAAAAAATTTCCTCATCTAAATTTCCAGGGGTTGAACTTCTACCGGGAGATTTACTTGTTGAATTATAATATGCCGATGACATAGTTCTATTTGGTGAACACGCTGACAAAATACAGAATCTTCTGACCACTCTAAGCAACAATGCAAGCATGCTCGGGATGCTATTCTCTAGCTCGAAATACAAAATATTGCTTCAGAATTGAGTTTCATCAACACCCGAACCAATGGTAGGGAGAGAAGTAGTTGAACGTGTTGACCGCTTCGCTTATCTCGGGAGTCTCATCAGCCCTTGTGTTCTGGCGTGACGAAATCTCAGCAGGAATACAGAAGGCTCCACTACCTTCCGCCAACTTGCGTCATTTATGGCGTAGGCAAGATATCCGTCTACCAACCAAAGGATGGGTTTACTGCACAGCAGTTCGTTCCGTCCTATTTGACGGTTTTGAAACATGGCCGGTGAGAGTAGAGGATATTCGTAGTTTGTTAGTATTCGATCATAGGTGTCTTCCAAAGATTGCTCGTATGTCGTGGGACCATCGAATAAGTAACGCAGTTGTTAGGAACCGGGTCAGTCAGTCAGTCAGCTACAACGTAGGACCAGGCACATATATGCATCGGTCCAAGTTCCCATACCTCATTAACACAACAAGATGGACACCGGATTCATATAAGTGGTTAATTCAGAGGTGGTAATATACAAAAGAAAGATTGCAATAAGGATATAGTACAGGAAGAAAGAATTAGTTCGTAGAAAGAAAGATATGAAGCGATTTTAATCTCTTAGTTTAAGGGGAGACAGAGAGTGTATACACCGACGCCATTGTGACCGATTCTGAGCCATGTCACCAAGAGTCTCCAACCATTGGTTACGATAGTCATGCGGACCCCATCCAAGTAGTCTGCATCTACCAACATGGCTCAGACTAGAAGTTAGTGACTTCAATTACTGAGAAGCAGTGACCAGTGGAGTTCAACTGTGTCTACTGTGAGATAGTAATTCACTGAAGACAATGGTGAATGTGTCGCTCAATTTCGTGGATTGGTTGAAGTTAGACATTAACACCGTTGGATGCCAGCTATCTCAGTGGTCTAGAGGTTAAGCGTTCGCTCGCGAGACTGATAGATCCTGGGTTGGAATCTTGCGAGTCAGGATCATGTATGCGCATTGTTGAGGTGTCCCACAATAGGATGAAACAGTCATTTAATGCTTCCAGGTTTTTCATGGCTATCTAGCTTCAATTGATTCATGATCTCAACGATTAAAATTACTATCATATCCACACACAATCCCTTTTGATACTAAGGTTTCTTTATTAATTCTACTTTAATTTTATCATTAATCGACTCCGTATAACTTTATTCCATATTCAATTTTTCACATTTCTATATTTAATAACGTTGCTAAGGTGTGACAATTTCTACGTACATTTATACATATATCCAATGAAAAATTAAACAAGTATGAATTAAGAAGAGGAAAAACAAAAATCAAATTCACTTATCACTCATATTTCTCATCTTAGATATAAATCATAAAATCATTGTAGTATAATAAATATGTCAGCTTACATTTGATTGATATATGGATAAAGTAAACTTAATCATTATTAACAGGCTTTAATTTAAGGTGGTATATGGAATAATATTGAATTTCTTCTCAAGGGTAAACAATGTTTTTTTTAAGCAAAGATGGGTAGTGGCTAGCAGTGGAATCCAGTTTGACACGCCTTTCGTCCTGTTTGGGACTCATCATCTGGATGTCCTAGCATCTCCGAGTTGATGCTCATTCTGGGACTCGAACTCAGTACCGTCCGCTTCAAACGCCATCGCGTTTTCCACTTAGCTACTGAGTCCTGATAGTCACTTGGTTGTGCAATGGGGTGAAGTTTAATTCACTTGGTATTGTTTGGCTTGTATCTTCGCATCAATTTCAGTCCTATAAACATCAATAGGAGGATTCAAGTAAAACAATACCAAGTGAATTAATGTCTTTTTTTGTTAAAAGTAATCTTTAAGGACTAAAATGATTTCATATATATATATATATATATATATATATATATATATATATATATATATATATATATATATATATATATATATATATATATATATATATGGGATAATTTGACACACACATACACAAATACATAACCACAAATGTATATCTATATACATGTAAAGGCGTTTACAAGTTTTAAATTATGCACATAGTGATAAAAAAGGGAGTTTAAAATTAAATAAGAAATTGTATGGAACATTTATTGATTAACTCCTACAGATAAACATGTTTTAACAAATTGCTTTATTGAAAGATTGTCAAAAATAAGTGATAACTAATAAAAAAAAATACTTCAATTATATTAACTACTTCTATTTTAGTAGCCCGGGGATCTGACTCCAATTAGGATCGTAATGAATGTTTGTTATCGCCTATCCTTGTTGTATATATAATCATCGAGTTAAATCGCGTTAGTCAATAACGGATTTAGATAAGTCATATAACGAGAATATGGACTTTTGAATACATATATATTTTGTATATAAAGTGAATGTAATAGAACAAATCAAAACGACGCTCAATGGAGATGGCGGATAAGCCAACTCCCATTTAACCATACCTTAATTAATAATTGTAGTTACACAAAAGTAAGTTACAGACATGTGATGAGTAATGGGATAAGAAATGTATACACACCTATGTGCTAATATAAAAACAGTCAAGATTGATAAGCGAATAAATAACAATGTCAGAATGTGACTCAAGTAGAATAGAATAGAATGGGCTGTCCGAAAGCTAGAATAAGGTATATGGGCTTAACATAATAAATGACATTACACTATTTTCTTCTTATATGATTCAAAACTGGATTGAAGTAGTGCAGATCTTAAGCTTCCATGTTATTCTATAATATATATAGAGTGCGCGTTTCTTCGTATTTGGGACTCGTCAGCTTGATGTTGACTCCGGGACTCAAACCTGGTACCGTTCTCTCCGAACGCCATCGTGTTATCTACTTAGCTACTGAGAACTAATAACCACCTTCTTGTGCAATGGGGTGTTGTTATATTCACTTTATGTTGTTTACTTGTATCTTCCCATTGTTATTTAGGACTGCAATTGATCAATCTCTTGTTGGTACTGGGTTCGAGTCCCAGAGTGTACATCAACAAGTTCGAGATGCAGGTACATCCAGCTGACGAGTCCCAAATATGATGAAACGCGCGTCAAACTGGATTCCACAGTTAGCCACTATGGATCTTCGCTTTAAAAAAAGCAATATTGAGGCAGTCCGCAGATGATGAGCATATGCCAACAAGAGACTGATTAATGGAAGTCCTAAATAACAATTAGAAGATACAAGTGAACAACACCAAGTGAATAAAAAATACGACTATTATTAAATTTCTACCCAATGCTCAATTTATTTGAAACTGTCATATTCAACCTTGGTATGGATACCATTTACAATATTGTTAAATTAATCGAATTATTTGAAAATATAAACATACTTGAAAAAATCCCCAAATTAACAATCTGACTGACTTTAGCATACTGTCTACATATAGACCGTTGTATCCGTAGAAAACTAAATAAGTGA